TGATGTCGAAAATAGTTATTAGTTTTAAAAGTTTTGTGCAATGAATTTGAATTAAATTAAAGTATTGTTTATTTGTATTAAGAATTCAGTGCTTAAAGTGAAAGAAAGCGAAATTATATACGATTTTTGTTGGTTTCCGAAAATGAATTCATGTCTTCCGTCCACCTGTTTGTGAGTCCAATCAGACATCAATTCAATTCACATTTAATTTGTATTTCTAATCAAATGATACTCTCTTTGAATGCAAAGAATGCTGACTACAAGTCGTGATAATCCCATACACTTATGGGACGCCTATACGGGACAACTAGTGGCCAGTTATAAGGCCTACAATTGGGCCGATGAAGTGGTTTCGGCCAACTCTATAGCCTTTAGTGCCGACGGAAATAAAATATATTCAGGATTTGAGAAATATATTCGAGTCTTCGATACGTCTACTTCTGGACGAGTCTGTGATTTGAAACAAACTTATTGTATGTTTTTGTTGGCGATTGAATGAAATTATTAATTTTAAATGTATTATTACTTTAAGCCGAGAAAACTGGTCAAAAGGGGATCATATCGTGTATTACAGTAAATCCATTCAATCCAAACATTATAGCCGTTGGTTCTTATGATAAAAGCATTGGTCTCTACGAAGAGCCGGGAATGACAAACATATGCGTGCTATCGGGTCAGAGAGGAGGTGTCACTCATCTTAAGTTCTCTTCAGACGGCAATCGTCTTTATAGCGGCGGAAGAAAAGTATTATTTTGTTAATCATTTTATTTTCACAATAATTGAAGTTTTAAACAATTTATATAAAGGATTCCGAGATTCTCTGTTGGGATCTGAGAAATATCGGTAATGTCTTGTCTGTCATCAATCGTGAAGTGAATACAAACCAAAGAATATATTTTGATTTAACTTTGGATTCAAAGTATTTGGTGACCGGAAGTGATACTGGATTTGTTGCCATTTATGATATTAGTAGCGAATCAAGTGATGAGAACGTAATGAAACCAATCAACACATTTGTCGCACATAATGACTGTGTGAATGGTATTAGGTATTAGATCGACATTTATCATCTCTTTATTTATCATATAAATGACGATTAATGTGTTTATTGTATATCAGTCTTCACCCGACTCTACCGGTGCTGTCGACCACTTCAGGCCAAAGAAGATTTCCTGATATTTCCGATTCAGAAGACGAAGACTTGTCTCTATTAAAGACAACACAAGAAAATAGTCTAAAGCTTTGGTGGTTTTAAAATGTAAATTATTATATTTAATTGATTTTTAATAAATTTTATTTAATTGTGTAAATCTGTAATTAATTTTAACTTTCATTATATATTTGTATTACAAAAATGATTTATTACATAAATAAAGAAATAATGCATTAAATTACGAAATTATGAAAATAGACAAAATGTGTGACAAAAATACAGTATATTTTTCAAAAATGCATGAAATGAATGACTTATTTGAAAGTTGCGCCGAAATGCGTCTCCAATTATAGAAATACATAACAAAAGCATATATTTGTGACAACTATTTGTGCCCTTTTATGACAACTGATGAATGCATTGAATGCATGTATTGTTGTATTCAATAAAACCAATTGTAAGCAATGTATACATCATTTCATTCATTCAATACAATAGTGTCTCTCATTTAGCGACGATTTGATTGTAACCTAAATTGTCCTCAAATTACACACAATTAGTGTTGAATTGAATGTAAAATACGTTTAATAAACAATTGATTGACAAGTCTTTTGTTGAGATCTGTGTCTTAAGAATGGATCCAATGATAGCAACCAATGATCCAAATGTGAGTTTTCATTGTTTTGATTCATTTTCTAATGTCTTTGTTAACCATTTATTAGCCACAGATGTCTGAAGTGACGGTCTCTGCGAACGGATCCACAGGAGAGACGACAAGCGGTTCGTCGAGAAGAGTCTCAAAACGAACTAAAAGTGGTCGAAGTGTTGGCACTAAACGACAGACTGTCTCTCAAAGTAACGCCAATAACGACAACAATAGTAGCGAAACAAATGAGTCCCAAAACACAGACAATACGGAGACCACTGATAACCTGTTATCGATGCCTGTCTTAACCGCGAGTTTGGTTGTGACCAACGATTCAGGCATTGAGGCCAACGAACCGACGCTTGATTTGAATGAAGCGAATACTCAATTGAATGGTAATATGAATGCGGAAAACGAGGCCAACGTATGCATCGATCTAACGGAAGACGACTCCTTTGTGGACTACAATTCCGAATCAGATCCAGAGGTCCAATGTATTAGTTCTGTGATTCGAGACCAGGATTTGTGTATTATTCGCACAAACCGTCGCAAAGGCATCAATAGGTCTCCACTTAAGCCAAACGACGATATCATTGAAATCAAAGACTCGCTAACACTCCAAAAGTATTCATTCATTGATTGTTTTAATTCACATTAATTAGTATCGAATCTAATATATATTTATTGATCTCAAATTTAGTCCAATGAATGGCCCCAACACTCAGTCTATGGGGAGTCCATCGAAAAGAGGTGTCAAAAAATGTATTAAATGTCCCGTTTGTTTGGACGAAAGCACTGTCGTTAGTATTATATTGAGTTTAATTGTGTGTTTTATTTGTTTAATTTTGTGTGTTTTGATTGTTTGTCAGTTTGACGTATCGGGCCGTCAATTAGTGTCAACCACTTGCGGACATCTTTTCTGTGATCGGTATTGTCTTTGAAATACAATTTTGTTTAATCATTCGTCACATTAATTATGTTTATATTTATTGAATAAACAGTTGTATATCAGAGTGTATTAGGACTACGAAAGCGTGTCCGACGTGTCGAAAGAAGATCACAACTAAGAAAGGATTTCATCCCATTTTTATTTAATTTTTTTATTTCTTTATTAGTCTTATTTTAATGTTTTCACAATTTGATTGACGTTTTCCAAAACATTATTTTGTAATTAAACACAACAAATGAAATCATGAGTATTTTTATTATCAAAAACTTTCTATCGATTAACATAATTATCAAATTTTCCAATTAATGAAAATCTGGAGACTGTTTGACTAAATGGGAAGATATTTATGCCATTGATTGTCGATCCGATTGGTTAGAGATTAGGAGAAACTGAAGTCCTCTTCGAATGAAGCGATTTTGTTTGCATTCAGTTGTTTCTAATCTATATATTTGTGAACAGAATATCAGCAATCGTTGAGGTTTTTGCACGCTTTGCAACAATTGCTTCATTTATAAGTTATCTATATTTCTGGTCGACCGAAAAGTGCAGTCATTTGGAGTTTATAACTGTTTTGGCAAACATTGACAAACATTTAAACATAATTAATGTTTAATTATTTGTTCAAATTAACCAAAATGAGTGTCAAATTCGGTTTGTTTGTCGTTTTGGCGGTCTATATATCCTTCTCGGGATCAGCTATGAGTCAAAGTAAGTGAACAACGTTTCAACTTCTTTTCAATGTGAAGTTCAAGGCTCTCTTCATTTTCCAAAATTATTACATTTTTGAACCCAAATATAGGCAACAATATTATTATTACCGTATTACGGCGCATATACTTGCAGTGCAATTATAAGTGAACTTCACACAAGGGGTGCAACTATATCCGGATATAGTTGCAGTAGTTTTTATAAAATGCAAAATTTGTGAAATTCACTTATAATTGCATGCAACTATATGCGGCGTAATACGGTAGTTAAAATGTCTAGTTCAAATATTTTTTGATTTATATTTTTAAAAACTTAATTAAAATATTGGTTAATTTGAATATTCAAAGTTATAAATTCTGTTTAATTTCAGTAATTTATCTATTGATTAAAGATTACAAACCATTTCATAATAACTCAAATGACATGACCCGTCATTAATATAAGCATAAATGACTATTAGATTAAAAGTGAATTAAAAGTTGAAGTTTTCAATTTATAAGTTTCAAACAACTTTCAAACTTATTCTGAATACTCTTTTTTAGCTTTCAATAGTTTTATATATTTTTGTGGTCATCAAAATTTATAAGATTTACATTACATGTATCTAATATTAATCTTTGTTAATTAACCAAAAAAAACTTTAGGCAATGAATTGCCCGTCAAATCCAATCGGTTTGAAATGAAGTCGGAATGTATGCGAGAACTGAATAATCAAATCAATTCAGAGATGTATGCGAGTCTGGTTTACATGAATATGGTATCAAAAAGCACTAAAATATAATCATTGATAACAAAATGTTGTAATCACTAAACACTTTGTATACAAAAAGGGGGCCTATTTTGATAGCAACAAAGTGGCCCGAAAAGGGTTCGCTAAGTTCTTCACTGACCAGTCACATGAGGAAAAGGAGCATGCTCACAAACTGGTCGATTATCTCAATAAGAGAGGCGCTAACGTCAACACTTTGGACGTTAAGGTATGACCAAAACCATTGGTCGAACCGAATATTTATTTCATAAATTATCTGTCGGTTTCAGATGCCGGTGAAGAACACGTGGAATAATCCCAAACAGGCTCTCGAAGATGCCATTCAATTGGAGAATGAGATCAACGATTATATCCACAAAATTCACGGAATCGCTGAACACACATGTCTTGATCCGCACGTAAGCACCCGATTGTTGGCCACTAAATCGTAATGCATTTTAATATCGTTTCCTTTAAAAAGTTAATGGATTTCTTGGAGAGCGAGTATTTGGAAGAACAGATGACTTCCATCAACCAATTGACACGACTTCACACAATACTGAGTCAAATGCCGGACGGAGTCGGAGAGTATCTCCTCGACAGACAGATTCTTGAGGGCAAAGTCGAACCCAAAGATCTTTAAATGTACACAACGTTTGTAAAGTGTAACTCATTTTTTATCACTAAATACTCCGCAAAGATTTGTAACAAATTTATATTTTATTAAAATATATAAAATTTAGAAAATTGATAACAATTTGTAGAATAAAATGATATTTTAAATAAAAATTAATTCGTTAATAACTGGTATGTTATGGGATGTGATGATTACCAGACAACCCAAGGAGGCTGTCGTACTTTCACCGACATATGGCTCACATTAATAGGAATGTTAACGACGGCTCGATTCAGTCGGTGCGCATCCAATGCCCTCCGAATCATATGACCGTCTTTTCCGAGAAGAAATGCGGCCGGAATTGAGCAGTTGGGCGATGGGTTGTCGGTCACCATCTCTATGTACTGGTCGTCGTTATCGTTATTATTATCGTAAATGATTACTCCAATCATACCATTCTTCTCGGCGGCAATACATTTGGCCAGAAATGCACAGCCGCTGAGGGAATAACAATAAGCAATCAATTAATCAACTATTTATACGCTCCATAACTAATCGGCTAAACTAACAGTTGCTTAACTAATTGTCAATTGATAACAATTCAAATGTCTTATTCTCATTCTGTATATCAGAATTATCAGAATATTCTGTAAATAAATTACTATAAATTTGTTTAGAATATTCCGTATATAAAACAACTTATTCTGTAAATCAGTTGTAATTCATAGCAATTGTCAAAAAAATTAAAGAATAAAATGTATGCAAAACTCATATTTTTGAATAAAACAAATACCAAACATATTGCAAGATATAATGATAAAGCAATTAATACCCCCTTTCAATGAGACCAATATTATTGATTAATTCAAGTCTATTCACGATTGTAGTGCACGAGTCGTTTGGCTCAACGATCACTAGATTTATGTTTGAATAACGCTTTTCCTATCAATCAATGCAAACATTAATTAATACAATATAAACACTAAATTCAATTCAATTCATACAAAACTAGTGCCGAAATTCTGTGCCATTCGTGCCCTAAAATGCAGACACAAAACAAACAAACAAATCATTTTCATTGTCAGGCATTTAATGATGGATTCAAATGAATGGTATTTATAGAGACCTATAAGTGTAACGAAGACTTTCGGGTTCAACGATCTCGAAGTGTATGTCCTCTTCGGCCAAAAGCGAAGACAACACATCGCCTAAGAAGTGATACAAACAATATGTCAATCGTTTCACTCAATTGTCTCATTCGCCAAATAATACCCGTAATTGTGGCCAACATTTCAAACAAAATCAAATAAACCAATAAATGGTTTATTAATTTAAGTGAAAGTTTCGCTTTAAATGCTTTCATTTAATTCAATAATAATTTACGCAAAACTTTGCCAAACATTTCAATTCATAAATATGTTGTGTTTTCGCAAACTTTTAAACACTCTTTACAAATGTGTTTAGCATTTATACGTGTATTCATACATACAGTTAGCGTACAATTAGTGAACGTATGGACACAATGAGCACAATAAGCCGTAAACAGGGAATCAGTTTTGTGTGATGTTATAAACTGTAATATATTTTATTAATTATTTATTTTGTTTACCAATTATTGCAATCATTTTTTGTCAATTCATTCATTCAATACAAAAGCAATAAATAGATTTCCAATGGTTTCTGTTTTTCAGTCACTATTTCTACTGCTTTTCAATGCGATGGTTGGCTTCACTGCATAATTCAGTGCACGGCTTCATTGCAGTTGATTCACGTGTTATATGTGTTACGCCGTGAAAGCGTAATCAAAGGGGCAGTGATTTTGGTGGTAATGGCAACCGATTGTTGACTAAAACATAACGTAATTTGTGGCAAAAATGTCGGTTAAAAGTGTGGATTCGCTAAACATTTGATTGGTTTATGACTTCATAAGTGTTTTGAATAGGGATTGAAAGCAATCATTGAATTGAGTGTCAATTGAATTGCATTGAAATGACGTTAATGTCGGGCAATGAGAGTCCAAATGAGTTCAAATTGGATTCAGTGGCCACTGATTGCATACAATCCGTCACTTTCGGTCACCACAACAGCCAATACCTGTTGTCTTCTTCGTGGGACTGTTCCGTCCGTTTGCACGACATCTCTAACAACACATTGAGAGCCAAATACACGCATTCGGCGCCCGTTCTCGACGCCGCCTTTCAGGTGACCACCGCTTCCACCGCCTCTTCGGTGACTAATTGTATGATTGATTTGTTTAGGACTCGCATCACGTCTGGAGCGGCGGTTTCGACCAACACGTGAAGACCTATGACCTGAACTCATGCACCGAAACCATTCTGGGCTCACATAACGGTCCGATCCGTTGCGTCGAGTTTAGTCCGGAGGCGAATGTGATGGTCACCGGCGGGTGGGACGCGAACCTCAAGCTCTGGGACCCCAGGGCTCCGTCCGCTGTCGGCACTTACGGACAGCCCGACAAAGTGTATACAATGGCTGTCTGTGGCGACAAAGTGGTGGTCGGAACGGCTGGCCGTCGGGTTCTGGTGTGGGATCTCCGGAATATGGCTTACGTCCAGCAGAGGAGGGAATCGAGTCTTAAATACCAGACGCGTTGTATTCGGTGTTTCCCTAACAAACAGGGATACGTCTTGAGCTCTATTGAGGGCAGAGTTGCCGTCGAATATCTGGACCCGAGTCCTGAAGTGCAGCGCAAGAAGTATGCCTTCAAATGTCACCGAAACAAAGACAACGCCAGCGGTATTGAAGTGATATATCCGGTGAATGCCATCAGTTTTCACGTCGGATACAACACTTTCGCCACCGGAGGCTCCGATGGATACGTGAATATATGGGACGGCTTTAATAAGAAGCGTTTGTGTCAATTCCACAAATACCCCTCCAGTATATCGTCCCTCTGCTTCTCACCCGACGGCCAATACCTCGCCATCGCTTCCTCTTTCCTGCACGAGACGGAGGAGACCCGAGACATACCTCCGGACGCTATATTCATCCGGCGAGTGACGGATCAGGAAACCAAACCTAAATAATATAACCATCACTCCCTCCTCTACACCACTTTTAACGGTTTTAATCATTAATCAATTTATATACCATTCCTTTACTATGGATTTGAAATGGATTTTCAATTTTGTAATAAATATGATTCACAAAACAAAGACCGCGTTTAGTGTGAGAATGAGTTATTGAAAAGCGAATTAAGTCTTTTCATCTGTTTTTTAATGAAAAATTGACCAAAAATCTCAAAATCAATATAATATTGCGGACAGAAAACGGAATTAATTTACAAAACTCTTAATAATTATAAGATCTAAAAAAATTTACACCAATTTCTTGGCCTCGAAGAAGCCCTTCAAATGTCTCATTTGCCAAAAACCCATCGATAGTAAGATAACGGTCTGACCCAAAGACCACCACAAGACACGAGAGTTTGTGCTTTCGCTGGTCTGACGGAACCGCTCTTCGCGATACTACAAATGAGATACAGTAGTGATTAGATTGACTCTCCATTCATGACATGGCATACACTCATACCCTTTGATAGTTTTGTTCTTTAGTGATCTGCTCGACCTGATCCAGCAGTTGTCGAACACGTAATTGTAATTCACTTAACTTCTCCTTCTGAGCGATATTCTGGTAGTCGATGGCGTGTTCGCCCACTTGTATGTCCAGATGGACGCGGAGTTGACCGCCGCTGAACCAACGCGAAGAGTTAGAGTACAGACATATCACGTGCTCTCCCGGTGTGTGTGATGTGAAGGAGAAGCGGCCCTCATGTGAGTACACCTTCGAGAGGATGATCTTGTCCTCCGGGTCTCTGATCTCGACATGCATTCCAATGCCGGGCGACGAAGGCATGAATCCACCCGTATTTGGATCAAAGAGTTGACATTTGTAGTTACCTATCAATTACAAGACAATTAGTGTGGAAGCGATGGCACAGCAGTTCCCATACATACCGACAACGAGGGTCTCGTCGGGCACTTCTTCGATGAAACACTTCCTCTCGGTCTCCGAGATGTGGAAATAGAGGGCAAACGAACTCTTGATGCAAATGATGGCAATCAATGTCCAGAGGAATAGACAGTCGAAGACTCTGTGACACATGTTTGAGGACTAAATCACATATAAATTGAGTGTTTGTTTGAATTAGTGGTGAATCTAATGGTATGAATGAAAGGCCACGTAATATACGATACAGTGTTTGCCTGCAGTCAGTCATCAATGCATCCAATCATTCAATGCATGTCTCAACACATCATTCACTGCAAGTGTCCATCAATTACGACAAACAATGATTGTGTCACAAATGGGTGTGACTTTACATATGACTACAGTTTACAGTTTATTTCATTTTCAATTAGATTTACTTTTAATCGTTATTTAAATCTAATCTCATTTTAATTTATTTCATATATATGTCAAACAAATGACTCAAACAATGAATCTCTTATTTGAGACCATTTTTACACTTTTCCTCATTATTTCTCTCAAACGTAAGTCTAATAAAAAGTTTGAATCAATTTTTGTTTTGATTTTTTAAATTAAATTTTTTTATTAATTACTAATGAATTGTATTATTATTTTGTAGTTTTAAAGCCGACTGAATGTCAGGTAAACAATGGTCTGACAAGTGGTCCGAAACCAAGACTTGTATTTTGTGCGACGAGTGGCGAAGAGATGCGCAAATGTGAGCACTGGTCACAAGCCATCAATCACATATAAATTGAGTGTTTGTTTGAATTAGTGGTGAATCTAATGGTATGAATGAAAGGCCACGTAATATACGATACAGTGTTTGCCTGCAGTCAGTCATCAATGCATCCAATCATTCAATGCATTGATCAACACATCATTCACTGCAAGTGTCCATCAATTACGACAACCAATGATTGTGTCACAAATGGGTGTGACTTTACATATGACTACAGTTTACAGTTTATTTCATTTTCAATTAGATTTACTTTTAATCCTTATTTTAAATCTAATCTCATTTTAATTTATTTCATATAAATGTCAAACAAATGACTCAAACAATGAATCTCTTATTTGAGACCATTTTTACACTTTTTCTCATTATTTCTCTCAAACGTAAGTCTAATAAAAAGTTTGAATCAATTTTTGTTTTGATTTTTTAAATTAAATTTATTTATTAATTACTAATGAATTGTATTATTATTGTGTAGTTTTAAAGCCGACTGAATGTCAGGTAAACAATGGTCTGACAAGTGGTCCGAAACCAAGACTTGTATTTTGTGCGACGAGTGGCGAAGAGATGCGCAAATGTGAGCACTGGTCACAAGCCATCCAAAGAAGCGCTTGGAATGCCTTTGATTACGACCTGTCGTGTAAAGTGGCCACAGATAAGGATCAGTGCATGAATTGGATCGAGAACTCGATGGCCCATCTCGTCCTCTTAGATCCGGGAGAGGTGTTCACTGCCGGCCGTTACCACAGTTTGGTTCCCGTAATGTATGAGTTGTATAATAATGTCAAAGAGAAGGGCTATTATTCCGTGGCTGTCGTCAAAACCTCGACATCGAGTTATATACGGGATATCAGAGACTTAAGAGGACGTAAAGCGTGTTTCACAGGTGTTGGCCATATGTCCGGTTGGGTTATACCGATCTCACGATTGCTGGACGAAGAGCTGCTGGACATCCGTGACTGCAATAATATGATCAAAAGCGCCGCCAACTTCTTCGGCGACAGTTGTGCCCCGAATTCATTGATCGACAAAAATAATCCGATCGGCAATAATCCGGTGTCAATGTGTGCCTTATGTTCGGCCACACATCCGGACAAAGCCAAGTGCTCGGGAAGTGATTTGTACGCCAACTTCGAGGGCGCCTTTCAATGTCTGGCAACTGTCGGTGACGTGTCTTTCCTCAGACACACCACAATCAACCAAATGTCTCGATTCAAACGCATCAATAAAAATGAATACGAGTTGTTGTGTCCAAATGGTGGCCGGCGTTCAGTGGACTCTTATCTGGAGTGCAATTGGGGTTTCGTTCCGTCGCACGCTATTGTCATCTCTTCGGTCACTTTACCCGAAGACAGGGCCAAAATTCAAAGGTTTTTCTTCGACTCCGTCAACAAATTCAGTCCTCAGTCGACAAATAGAGACTACTTATCGGGACAGCCATTGAAGCCATCATTTAATCGATTTAATCAAAGCTTTTCAATGAAAAGCAATTTAACAAAATATAGTTTACTGGAAGACAAACTGCGAAACGACGACCAGTTCTCACTGTTTGGCGATTCCGTAAAATACGGGGCAATGAATCTGTTGTTCTCCGACGAGACGACTGCCTTGAGTCCGGTCGACA